CAGTGTGTGGACCAAGGTTTTCTAATTGATGCACTGAGCACTTCATCCAGTGGATCTTCTACAGGAGCCATAGACAAGGGCCGACGAATTCGTACTACCGAACCATTAGTTGATTTTATGTTTGCATAGAATTGTAAGTTCGGACTGAACCGACCGATAGCTAAATTAACCAGCAGGCCTGGGCAGACAACAATTATGGTATGAAGTCTTGCTCCAAGAGCAACCTGGCAAGCGACTATAAAAAGGACGGCAAACTTGAAGGTTTAACTACTGAATAACCTGGCAGCGGTTAGAGTGGGCGATAAAGCGTACAGGAAAGTCATTGGGCCAAAGCAGTTACTGGAGCGGCGTTCATCAAGATTTCAGATTCTAGAATTCTATCACGATGGTGCTGTGTTGTGCACGCCAGTCAGGCAGAAAGAAACATAAGAGAGGCACCAGAGATAAACTTTTATTAAGTCCTTAAGCTTATTGTAAATTATACCTGATCTCAGATGCATGAAGCGCAATTTTTCAAACAAGAGGACGTCAGAGAAGTCAGTAAGTTAGGCTGGGGGATGTGAAGAAAAAACTGACCGGAACTTATCGGCGAACACACACTAGACTGGAATAGTCATTTCCAGCCTATTTGCCAGTCATATGCCAAGTTAAGGAAACATTCGGGGATCAAACTAAAGATCCCTGATCATCGAACAGGGAGTAATTTCTGACTAGTGGTTACTACCGGCTGAGTAACCGCATGTATGGACCATGTTACCCAAAAAGACGGAACACCCACATTCAGTATAAGGATCGAGATAGGTTGATAAACGCTAACTCTGGACAACCTGCTGTTGCCAAAACGTTGCGCGTAAGCCTGAAACACAAAACATGCGTTCGACTTGGTGGGAGTTTTCTTCGTCAAATCGTAGCAACCGAACGAGTAAGTAATGATACTAACTACATGGCAACAGCCCATGCAATAACTTTATCGGTAATAAGGCAGATGATCAGAAAGGGCTTTAAAGTGCCGGAATTAAACATACTTGTTTTGCAACAAATTTCCGGGGGCCAAGGGCCGCGAGATGAACAGACTAGTAGCAATCTGCTGGAGACTGTCTACCGATAGGTCTTCATCATCGGAAGTGGGGGAAACCTGAAAAAGAAGCGAAATAATGATCGAAACATGAAAAGACCCACTGTCCAAAAGTTAGCGGGCGTCGAGAGCTCCAACTGAAAAGATACGAAAGGTTATAGTGAGGAGGCTAAGTAGGCTGTGCGTAAACTAACCGGAAGCAGAACCAGAAAGTGTAAAAGTCTATCGATTGAGGTTCCCGCCTTCGCTGGCTTGCAGTCCTCCGAGTCAGCGCTAGGCGACAGAAGTCGACCAATGGAGGTAATAACAGTCTCCAGTTGGTGAAGACGGGCCACGGACCAGGTGACCAGTTGTAGGAGGAAGTTGAAGTTGGGACTGGTGCCCGCGGAACAGACAGTATCGCCACCGGTAGCTGTGAAAACAGAGAGAAGCAGACATGTGTTAGAGAGAAGTTAGTTAGTCAATGAGGTAAAAATGCATTTATCCTACGGCCAAGGTAGAGAGAAGACCAGTTAAATTTGATAAAGACACACGATCAACGATTTACATAACAGTGGAAATTCAAACATTAAGATGGGATAACCAAAAGGTCTGTTCTCATTGTTTAAGCGCTCAGAATAGTGAATCGTCTCTTTACAAATAGCAAATGAATAACCAGGAAGCTGATGGAAAGGTGAACAGTCTGAAAATTTCATCGAATCTCCACTGCACAAATATGCTTATACCGTAATTTTAAATGAATATGGTTAACTGAACCGGTGAGTGAAGATGCCCAGCCTTAAAACCAGGAACTAACAAATTCTATCTCTAAGCCCAGCTAATCAACAGAAGCAGTCATTACTGAACCAACAAACCAGGGAAAATAACTGTTAAAGGAGAAAACAAATGTCCCAATGAAAGTCCAGCGCTCAAGCCATAAGACAGCATTACTTGGCAGAAGGGTACAACCAGGGCGGTCATTCGAAGAATATCCGAATTTACACAGTAGGTCATGATGGTCCATGAAGAAATATTGAAACGGGGTGCCCAGAAAACGCCTTAAACGACTGAAAAAAATGAACCCGATGCGACTAACAAATGGCCAGGGTTCGAACGCCCACGGTGGCGAAGATGTCACCTTGACGATTTTACGTACAGGATATAGGAAAGCGGAGTTAATGGCGACCCCTCACTCACATCTCTGAGGCGGATTGCAAAGCACGAGAGGCGCCCTTGATATCGGGAATACGGTAACCATCCAAAAAGTAGTAGAATATTGACAAACTGTTAAACAGTCCAGTATATTGCAGTTGAATGAGAGCATGGCGAGCTGACTGCCTATGTAGGGGTGATCAGAACCAGCCACTGAGAAATCGTCAGTGAGAGGCCGATGTCTTCTCTATTCACCCCTAGAAATATAAACATACTAAGCAACCAAGCGCCGGGCTGCGGCGACGGGGACTCGAGCGACGAGAACAACACATGAATACTTGGAGGCAAATCTTAGATTTACA